ACTGTATACTGTATTGTTTTGTATACTAATTATTGTATGAGAAAGTGTCGTCCAGTGGTCCAGTCGTTTGTGCAGACATGGAGTGCCTGCTATTTGCCTATTCGGCTATTCCTTATTACATCATAAATTCATAATAACATAACATAATATTATTATTTATTATGATACAATTATTTTAGATTCTGAGCTTTGTGCTTAGGAATTTATGAATCTATTTATTTTAAAATTATGTATGATTAATCATTATTCATTAATGTTTACAAATAATAATCACTGCATTCGCAATGAATTAATTTTATACATTTTCTTCGATCTTTGTTTTTATTTTTTTCTAATGTTTTTTTTCGTGATTCGCGCTCTTCGTCTGATACCTCAATTAGTATAGCTATGATGCCCTCAATCATATCCATTTAAAATGTACAAAATGAAAAAATAACTAATGGGTACAAACATTTTATTAGAAATAAATACTATTTAATTTATTCACTTTTTTGGAATAACCTACTCATAACTCATAGGTCATAAGCTCGTAACTGTTATTTGCTTATATGATGCCTATAGATGGTCGCCATGGTAATTATATGACCAAACTTTTTCAAAACTTTTTATACCTACATATTGGATAAAAAGCACGATTTAAGATATCTTTAATCGTGATAAAAAGCCACGAATTACAATTTTGTTATCTACAATCTTGGACCACGGTCTTAGATTATTGTGATCAAAACATTTAAATATTCCAAACGGATATTATCGCCAATATCTATGACTTACTACTTAGTACTTACGTCCATGTCGTTTATCGGTAATCGCCATCTGCATGTATAACTTTTGCTTCGTTTAATCGTTTCACTCACATCGATAGACGGATAAGTCAAACTTTTTAAAACGATCCGCAGATCGCGGTCGTTCAAGTGTCTTTGATTTCCTTTTTTACTTTTGGTCTACAATTTACTATATTTATTTTTACTGCTGGCCATAGGTATATTGATATATATATTATGTTTACATAGKACCATCATTTCGAAAAAATTTAATACACGATGGTGGGTGATAGATATGGTTGTGATTTTAGAACAGTCATACAAAAAACCAGAAATACTGACTTTGACACCTACTACATAGCACCAGCAAAAACAGCAGACTACTTAATTCGTAATATTTATATGTTAGATTGTTATTGGTATATTCCAATCAAGGTGTGGCTCATGACTTCTTCAGATGAATAAAGTTTAAAATTCTTGTTATTTGGACCCCAGTTGACAGTCATTAATATGGCTATTGCATTATTATTTTTATATTCTAATATACATATAACTACACTAGGTATATAACATTTTCATGAGTCTTATTTATAATTTTTCCGATTATTATTGCTTATTACAAAATTGTCTGTTAATTTTGTTCATGCTATTACATTGGTTTTTTCTAAGTTATGAGCCAAACTATTTCATTATTGTATGCAAATTTTTTTTTAATTGTATATTTGATGCTTTAATTAATCTGTTTGGTTATAGAATGAAAATTAATTAATATTGACTCATTTTATTTGAAATGGAAGCACAACAAATAGATCAAGAAAAACAATCTTTAATGAACATACTAGAATCTCTAGATCTGGGTTCATCTGAAGTATTTATTACTTTCTATGTTTATATTATTTTATATAAATTATTACAGTTTGTAATTATTTTTATCCAGATTGATGACACCGAGTTCAATATTCCTAAAGTTAATGATATTCCCACCGTAGAAAGTATATTAAATGATGAAGATGTTTCTTTATTAAGTGAAGATGATGTAACTGTTTTCCAGAACAAAGTAAATTATGGCAATGAAATTAATTTTTATATATTGTTAAAAAATTATGCATTATTACTAGCTAAAATTAATAATCATTTAAAGAAATGTTGGTACAATGTTCCATATTTAAACATTTGATGCAATAATAAATTAATTTAATTAAATGGTAWGATGATTAATTCATATTTTTCTTTTTAGTTGAAAGTACCGTGGTATGATTCAGGAGCTGATTCTGTTTCATTAGGTAGCTCAAATAGTAGTCATATGAACACAGAACAGTTACCAAAATGTTTAAACTTAAAATCTGATCCTGGACGAATTTTACGGCATACAATTCTGAAACCTGTTTCCAATCAAATGCACTCATTTTGTGTAAGTTTATATAGTATCCTCTTTTATAAAAAAAAAATAGGTTTAAATGCATTAGAAGTATTTAAATACTTGTGTTAGGAACGTTTTGATGCTGGACAACCTAGTGCTATTAAGTTTTCACTTCTTATTGCCATTGGTACAAGCAAAGGTTTTATAATTCTATTTGATTCCTTACAAACATTCCAATGGTATCATGAAGCTGTTAACTGTGGTGCAGTATCTGCAATAGATTTTAATCATGATTGTTCTCGACTAATTGTTGGATATATAAATGGAACAATAATAGTATTTGATTCATCTTCTTCTACCTGTAAAACACTTAGAGTCATGACTGATGCACATACTCCAGGTACTATGGTGTTGCACATTAAAGTAAGTATTAAAAAAAGTGCACTTCTGCTAATCGTCAATTTAATTGACATACTTAAAGTTCCTTTCTATTAATTAAAATATTATATTGTGTTTATACATTTTAATTTTAGTTCTCAGATTTGCCAAATTTAGCAATTGTGAACAATAGTGCTGGTTCTGTGTTTGAGTTAAATTTTAAAAGAAATTTTGGTATACGTAGTGTCGAATCAAAATGTTTATTTTCTGGTGGCCGTGGAAGAGTGTGTTGTATTGAACCATTATTATTCAATCAATTAGCTAATCACCCTATGAATGGTTATGTAATAATTGCAATGGCTACTTTATCTAAAGTAAATTTATTATTATTTGTGATCTACTTGAAAAAATAATAAATTATACGTAATATGCTGAAAGAAAAAAAAAATTTTAAATTTGATTTTAAGGTAATCATTGTTACAATTCGGCCAAATACTGAACTACTATTATCAAACAACATAACTTCATCGCGTCCATCTTTACCATTGCTATCTTGGCAGTTTGTCATAATACAATTTAATAAAACATCTAATTCAAGCCATAGAATTATGGACCCAGTATTAGCTTTCACACGAGATGATACAGTTTACTTTTATCAGGTTACCTTTATTAATGTGATTTTCAAATTTTTACTTAAAAAATATTTTCATTCAATTAAATTAGGTCAATGTCAATGATCAAGAACGTCTATGTTGTTGTATTTTACAAAAAATAAAATTATCATACACAATAATAGCATGCAGYTGGATGAATGCACGCACTTTATTGACTTTGGACTCATCGGATAAAGTTTATCTTGTTGATGTTCGTGCAGGAGATGAAATGGAACAGTCAGATCTTTTAAACATTTCCTTAGTTCACACTTCTAACTACTACAATGGCACAGATAGTCAACATTTAGTAAATAATTCATCTATAGACTATACTTTAATAACTTTTTAACTATATTTTAATGAATCTACGATTGTTCTAGGATAAATGTTGCTATAGTTCAGTCCATGGTCATAATAGTCAATTAGTACTGTTAGGAAAGAAGAGTGTTCATGTTATTAGTATTAGAAGCTGGATTGAACGTCTGGATAGTTTAACTGATAAAGTAATAATCTTACTGTTTTTCATCTTTTTAATAAATTACAATTTAAAAAATTGTTTGTAGAAACTATTTAGCGATGCATTGCAATTAGGTGTAGATTTCTTAGAAGAAAGAGGAAAAGCGGTTCTTGGTCTTAGAGGTACACGAGCACATAGACATAAAATAGTTAAAGACAAGGTATTTTTTTATGTACAATTATTACTTTATTTAAATAATAATAAAAAATGATGTAATAATAATTACAAATTACTATAATAAAATAATAATAATTAATAAATAAAGTACAGTTGAACCTCATTAATCTGGACCCTTTTAGTTTGGACTGATATTTAATAATACATACTTTAAATGTTTAAATATTMGAAAAATAATTGAAATGCCTAGGTATTTTGTATTACGTAGACCTAAACCTAACCTAACCTATACTATCATATTAAATAACCTTTGCATTTCTTAAATATTTATTACACTGATTTTTTTTTTAATGAATTGTGTTTAAATATTAATCTTGCCTCATTTTATTAGTTATTTTGTTTAATTTGAACAACGMAGAACCTCAATTAGTCTAGATTAATGAAATTTTACTGTATATTTATAAAAGTTATATGTTAAACATCCTGACATCCTGTTTTATTAGGTTATAAACATTGTTGCTTTATATATTGATTCTATGGTAGATATGAATAACTCAATAAATTATAAGGAAGGCATTCCTATTGTATTTGACATAAGTGTACATCTACAAAAAACGTAAGTTCCATGTAAATATAAATACTTCTAATTATATTTATGCTAACACTAATCATTACATAATTTATATTACAATCAATTTGGAATAAAATTACCTATTTCTTAAGTTAATTCTTGATGAATGATAGAACATTAAATTATTGAACATTTTTTTTAGAAGTTTATTGTTCGATCGCTTATGGGATGGAGTAGAGTTAATTGAATCTTGTTGTAAAATTTACTTGGAATGTTTAAAGAACTATTTACTTGAAGGTCAATTTGATGAAGTACCAACAATCATAGTTCAAAAGTTATTCACTTACCTTTCAGACACTAATCAATTAGAGGTACTTAATTTAACTTCTTCTTTTCTCTCCCAAATATTTTGGGTTGGCCAGGCTGGTCCTCAATTTCCATTTTCTACAATTTTTAGCATCCTCCTTACCAGTTATTCTCATATYGCACTTTATAACATCGAACCATCTCTTTTTCAGTCTTCCTTTCCTTTTTTCCCTTCCACACTCATGTTCTTAGTCACAGAAACTGCCTCAGTTTATTCTCTTCTTAAAACATATCCGAGCTATTTCAACTTATTCTCATGCAATTTGTCAACTATTGGAGCCACTCCTATATTACCTCTTATATACTCATTTCTTATTCTGTCCTCTCTCATCAATCCACACACCTTAACATTCTCATCTCAGCGACACTCGTTTTCCTCTCCATTATTTTATCTATACCCCAATATTCTGATCCATACGTCATAGTCAGCTTTGCTACTATCATACAATTTACCTTTTAATCTSATTGGGTTTCTTTTATCGTATAAAATACTTGATGCTTCTCTCCTCTTCATCCATTTACACTTAATCCTATGCATAATATCTTCGTCAAAACCACCATTATTTTGTAATATGGATCCTAAGTACTTGAAACTATCAACTTCATCCACTAGCTTGCCCACCATATTCGCTACATGCCTATTCTGATTTACTCTTTGGACTCTATTTCCAAGATGAAAACTGAACTCGATATACACAGTTTTACTTCTGCTAATTWTTAAACCTTTACTCTCAAGTGCTTCCCTCCATTCTTACAGCTTATAGTTCACCTTCTCCAGACTCTTTCCAACCAACACTTCATCATCTGCAAACAACAAGCACCATGGTATCACACCTTGTATACTTGTCTATTACTAAAGAAAACAAGTAAGGACTCAATGCTGAACCTTGCTGCACTCCAACTCTAACCCTAAACTCCTCAGTTTCACCAACAAGGCTTTTAATCTTTGTGTTCGCTTYTTCATACATGTCTTCAATTATATTTGCATACACCTTTGGCAACCCTTTCTTCATCAATGCCCATTTCAAAACCTCTTTAGGAACTCTGTGATAGGGCTTCTCTAGATCA